TGACACTAAATTATCGAGAAACGAAATATACAAATCAATGGGGAGCGATCAAAGTTTCATTATACAAATAACATTCATGGCCTGAATTATTTTCTTTAAATAATTATATATTATAAATATCTCTGATACTACAGTTTATGGGGACCCCTCTAAAGATCTATATTATTAGAGCCTGGCAGCGGACCTGTCCTTTGACCAAAGTTTGAAGATCAAAGTTGACAGGGAAGCCAGAAAAGTGAAAGAAGATACTGTTATCCTAGAACTTACGGTTACGTCTTGCCATTTCAACTATAAAATGATGAGACCTTACCGCCAATCTAGTACTGCGCTTCAATTCCTAGATTCTAGGTACCAAAGAGGAAAAGCTCCAAAGAACAATTACCATAAAAGTGTTTATAAAAGAAGGTGCGTTGAAGATATGTCATGGCAGTGGGAAAGCGACTGAAATCCAGATGCCAGGTCAGGACATATAGCATTGCAGATCCTTCTTTGTATTTTATCAAGAATCTCTAATTACATAGCAGAAGTATCTGACCAGATGTGACAGTAATATTCAATGTATAAGGAATGCATAGATGATGAACTTCTGTACATCTCGAGATTCTTGACAAAATCCAAAGAAGTAATCGATCCTGAACAGGCATCTCGACTTCAGTCACTTTCTTACCGTCCTGACGTAGCTACCCTCTGTATTTTCTACAAATATTTTCATGTCAACTGTTCTGATGAGCTTTTTTACCCGGTGATCCGACTGTATAAATTTAAACGTGCTACTAGATTGGCAGTTAGGTCTCACGTTTTACTGTTGAAATAGCAAGCTGCAACCGTCACTTCTACAGTTTTTTTTTCTCGCACACCTTACCTGATTTTTTGCTTCTCTGATGTAGTTATCAATCTTCAAAAATTTGAGTGCAACGTCCTTTGTCGTTTTCCCGTTTTCTTGTTCGTTTTGGTCTTTTCCTAGGTCCTCCCGATTCACATTCTCTTTCGTTTTCCATTCCTTTAACCCATTGCGCTCTAGTGGTATTTTCCCCTTGTTAGGGGTGAAAGATAAAGTCTGGCGATAAAAATTGTCTAACACGAAACAGCGAACCAACTGTAGCACAGAAATTTACTAGAAACGCAGGTCGACTCTGATGTAGGTTTGGGTCAACTTGGATATTTGCCTCGACTATCTACTGTGTACCAAAAGAGAAACTACAAGAAATCCCTTTTACTCAAGCTATGACATTTTTAGGTATTGGGAAAGTGAAGAAGCGTTGAAAACTGATGCCTATCATCAAAACATGGCAGACCGATCATTATGCCCCCTAACAGAAGATATATATATATACTTATATAATTAGTTTTAGTGTGGGTGTGTTTGTGGGTGTAGGTTTGTCGGATGCATCACGTGGTTCGGTTGAAATTAAGTAGTTGGTTCGCGCGGAGAATAAGTCTCCCGAGAAGGGAAACGAGACACGTCTTTTCAAGATGAAATTCTGTGAGTCAAGAGAGAAAAGAAGGGAAAGCTGATTTGAATCCTTTTTCTTTTACCGTTTTATACAACCATCTCTAGAGAGAAGATACGGTAATTCCACAATATAAACAAATAGGTCACATGCTAAGAAAGTTGGTTCATTGCATCCTGCTAGACAATTTGTCTCTCCAGAATCTACCTTATTGTTATACTGGAACATACCTATTCTATTGTTAATAGACTCTCCCACATATAATAAGTAGTAGTAGTAGCAGTTGCCAGGGGGCTCAGAGTGAGTTGGTGAGTCAGTCGATGTCGGACATTAAAGTATCAACCACCACTACTAGATTGCTGCGTCATAACTATTATATCAAGTTCCTAACGTTTTGTACGTCGAACCTATTTTAGGACCGACTTAGTGAAATACAAGCCTCCATTGTGAAACTACTTTATAACACTTATATATCTATAAGTCTACCATTCATCCATGCTTAGAATATTGCTGTCACATATGGGTTGGTGCTCCTGCTATATATCCAGAGATCCTTGATGAATACCAAAGGGGAATCATCAATATTATCGGTTCTGATCTGGCGTCTCAGCTTAAATCACTTTTTCTTTCGCCGTAAAGTTGCCTCCCTGTGCCTTTTCTATAAATACTTTCATGCTCGGAAGAGCTCTTCGCTAGACTTTATAAATTTAAGCGGAGTACTATGTTGGCAACAAAGTCTCATCTCTTTCAAGTTGAATTGGCTAAATGTAACCGTAAATTCTCTGCTAACAGTTTCTTTTCTTGCACTTCTCGTTTTCGGAACTCCCTTCCAGCTCCATGCTTTCCAGTCATCTTTAACCTTCAAATATTTGAATGCAATATCAATCACTATCTTCTGTCCACCTAGTTACTCTTCTTTTGTTCTCGATCCTTAGTAAAGTATCTCTTTACTAGTTCTTCCGCACTCGGTAAGCCCCTTGTGTTGTAGTGGCTTTATTGCCTTGCTTGAGGTGATCGCAATTAAATAAAAAATAAATATATAAAAACAGAACTGAATCGGTCAGGCACTAAAATCGTATCTACTGGTAGATTCCCCCACAAATAATGGTTAAATAGAAGAATGACTTAGGTTCTCTAACTTTGGTGATCGATTACACTGAATTCAAACCGTGCGGAAGACAACAGTAAAGCACACCACTATCTTTCCCAAGAAGACGTGGCAATTAACTGATAACAAATAAAATGTATATGTAAAAAGGCATGATCGTTTATCCCCTGAACGTAGAAGAAAAACTTCATTGCAAACCGATACAGAAAGCAATGTGTAACCGCTACGCTATCGATCTTATGAAGTCATAAGAATTTACAGATAATAAAGAAAAGGAAGCCCTAAAAGCCAAGGATTTCTACGACCAGAAGGAAGATGGCCTTAAAAATATTGTACCAGATTTTATTCTCCAGTCAAAGTTTTTTTTAAAAATAAAATTGATTTTTACCAACGGCGAAAGCTGATTTGGATCTAGGGCATGCAGTCGCGAATTTTTTGTCATATACAGCCTACCGTAATATTTTGTTAGTTCCCTGTTTATTTATTTTGTTACTTACAGTTTGTCTACCAACACCCCTACGAGCTACTTGCTACTTCAATGGCTGCGTAAAAATATGAGACCCCCTTGTAAAAAACAAACTTGTTTTGCACTGCTTTTTAAGAAAAAAAGTAAGTAATTTTGATTTAATCTTATTTTCAACTAAAAATTTAACAATTTCTGTTTTAACGAGACGGAGATATATATATATATTTTTTTTTAAACTTTAAATAAGTTTATCGCTTAACGACAGGAGTGAGAGAACTAATTTCAACTCGGAATTAATTTCAACAGGGAACTAATTTCAACTCGGAACTAATTTCATCTCGATTTAAAAACTCTAGCCCTAACCCTTAGTTCCGTGTTAAAATTAATTCTGCATCCCGACGTCAGGTGTCAAAAAATAGCGTTAATTGATGACTGGAAAAGTGAAAATTTGTAATTTTGATGTTAATTTGTTAAATTGGGAAAAGAATAAACCCACCTCTTTTCCCTTCTGTTATGGGGTAATTAGTAGGACATGTATCAGTAAATCATTATTATCTTCCTACCTGGTGCTTTAAGCTTGGATGTGCGGGTGGTGTAATGGATAATGGCACGGAATTGTTAATCGGAGAGCAGAGTTCCAAACCTCCTGCAAAGTCTTCATAAGCCATAAAAAATCAATCAGTGAGACATGTTTACTTAAATTTAAAAAATAACGTTGAATTAAAAAAATCGTTTATTTGCTAAATAATAAATATAAATATATATATATATGTGTGTGTGTGTGTGTGTGTGTGTGTGTGTGTGTGTGTTAATCGGTATCACCCTAAGCAAAGCAGTAAAGCCATTAAAACGCAAAGGGTTTAAGGGTGTGAAAGAATTATTAAAAGAAACATTAATGACTGAAGCCGAGATGCCAGATCAGGACCAATAATATTTCTGACTGTTCTTTGGATCTTATCAAGGAGCTCAAGTTAAACAGCAGGAGCACCAGACCATAGGTAACAGCAATATTCTATGCATCGGCAAATTGTAGACTTATAGATATGTTAGATTCCGGAAAAAAAAAAAATTTCTCACGGCACAGTGAACCGGTTATCTAGCAGCTGACCTTGCAATGGATTCAATATAGTTTTCGCACTTCATATCAGCTGAGAACGTTAGCCTAAGAAGGCACAACGAGTTACTTTACTGGAAATTAGCATCAACCATGCTGATGGAAGGCTAATGATTAGTGGAGAGAAGTTTAGTTTTGAGGACGTTAAAATTGACAAGCCATAGTTTGCCCCCGTTAACGGTTGTTTTGAACATTGGCAGCCATTTTGGCTTTCTCGGACTGATCAGCCTTACTATCGATGCAAGAGTAAATGTTTGTATCGTCAGCGATGCCAAGTTGGGAGTTGATGATGTTTTGAGGAGAGAAAGAGACCACCATAACTGTCACTATCTGTCGTAAACGGTAATACAAACCAGCTATAATATATATATATATATATATATATATATATATATATATGTATGTGTGTGTGTGTGTGTGTGTGTGAAAATACGTACCTGCAACATATGATTTCTTTTATTTTCCTTAGGAAAATCGGATTGCTGATGGCATATAAGAATGGATTCATACACGTAACACATTTAGCTGCTATGCCAGGAATTCCAGTAGCAAGGCGGGATATCAATCTGGTATCACCGAATTGAGCGATAAGAGACATGATGGCATACGGGGCCCAGCCACTACAGAAGAGCACGATGGCAATGGCCAATGCTCGGGCTGTTTTTAGTTCAACGTTCAGCTTTTTGCCTCTTGTGACACGTGGATTAGTACCCAGCATCTGGAGTACGTTCTTCATCTCTTTCTTATGTTTGTACATGGACCGGATGATGTTTACATAGCAGACACTAATGATGGACACGGGGATGAAAAAGACGAAGATGTTGAGGCAGATGACATAGGAGGTGTTGTTTAGGGAGCGTGTTAAGTAGTCGAACGTACAAGAGGTTCCAAATCCTTCCAGCATGAAAGAGCCCCAGCCGAGGAGCGGGCATGTTGCCCACAAGATGGAGTAGAACCAAGCTATGGAGAGAAACCAAATTGTTGTTTTCTTACGCGACCGACGGTAATTTACCCAGCATTTTACGATTACAACATATCTGAAAAGTAAAAAAGAAACATGAAAGTAGAAACTTGATACAGATACACACACATATATATATATATATATATATATATATATATATATATATATATATATATATATATATATATAGTGTTGATTTTAAATACTGTTTTTGAAGCCAAAATTGCTGTTTAAAAATATACACTAGAAACATCTGACAACAGTTTTATAAATGAGGATCACATCATTCAATGGATTAACAATATTTTAATGCATACATTATGTTCTACTAGCGAAGTGATTTCGCCATTAATCGCATTAATATTGCTGATTGATTCTATGTATGATTATTTATTTATATATAAAATATATGCTGCCTAATATATGTTTATAAAAAACAATTGATCCGCAGTACGAAATTCCTGAGAAAAAAATCTACTAAGACATATCACTATATTAATTGAACTATATACTTAGTCCATGTCATGTTAACTGAAAAACACTTGTAAAAAAAGAATTCGTGGGTTTACTATATTACAAAATTCATATAAAAATCCTCACTTGAAATTTTGAACTTTAGCGTTGCGACTCACATGTTCCGAGATTGTACAAACATCAATAAATAGCAGACTCTAAAAATACATCTTTCGGTCTACAAACAATTATTTCGTCTTCAAGTTTTAACTTTAAAGGAAAAAAAATTACAGCCTGATGATGAAGACATGGATCTTCGAAAGTACTTGCTTAACTTAAAAAAATATACACTAGAAACACCTGACAACAGTTTTATAAATGAGAATCACATCATTAAATGGATTAACAGTATTTTAATGCATACATTATGTTCTACTAGCGAATTGATTTCGCCATTAATCGCATTAATATTGCTGATTGATTCTATGTATGATTATTTCTTCATATATATATGATTATTTCTTCATATATATGTATATAATTAATATGGATGTTTTTTACTTAACTCATGTTTACTTCGGAGTTTAGTGGTTATATATGTATAACTACTCGTCGGAACAGAGTTACTTTCCATATTAACTCTTAGTGTTCTATTTCGGTCTTCGATATTGAGCACTCTACCACAAGGCACAGTTGTTTTAAATGCCTACTTATCAGCAAACTACTGAAAAACATCAATTTTGTCTTCAAAAACAGTATTTAAAATCAACACTATATATATATATATATATATATATATATATATATATATATAATAAGTTATTACATTCGAACATTTAAGTTACCACTACAAAAATGCATTTTGTTTCGATTCCCAATTTAGACATCTCATCAGGTGGGGATCAAAGATAGTTATAAGTGATTTTAAAAAAAAAATGCTTGTTATGAAAGATGAATTCTTTTATATCTTTAAAAAATTAGGCCCGTTATTACAGTTGGTATGACGTTTGCCTGATAATGTAACTGTCTGGGTTTCAATTCTCGGTAGTGGATGACTCCCAAATATATGACGAAACGGACGTCCAGTGCTTTATACATTTTGTTGAAGTTTTTTCTAGACTCAATTAATTACTTAATTATAATTATCTCAAATCACCCTAATAATTTCTATTATATATATATATATATATATATATATATATATATATATATGTGTGTGATAAATTGGCCACACATTTACCATATTCTCTCGTAGGTTGTCTTGTCACGTGACAAAGTTTAGTGCAATTTACACTCATATAGATACAAGTATGACAAATAAGCAAAGTAACGTTAAGATAATTCTGGAGCCTGTTGTAATAAAAAAAAAAAGAGGCAGCCATTATTGAATAAGTTATCTTTCTCCATAAGGAACCAGATACTGAAGTGTGCATAAAAAAAAAAAACACATGAATAAAAATTCAATTTGTACGTTTAAATAATGTCATCTTGAATGACTTGAAATTGGTTCCATCAAATGTGACAACGTCGTAATTAAAAAAAAAAGCAGTTGCGTAATGCAACACAGAACACAATCCACGAATGTGAATGTTAGTACTCGGGAAGAAAATATTATAAAATAAAATAAATATGAATTTTGGCAAATTTAAAGATAACACAAAGCACATAAATCGAAAATTTTAAAAAGTAAATAAAGCAATTTATATACAGAACATGTTCATATTTTTTAACCAAACTTGTTTGAGGGAATTATTGCTTCTGAAATACAACTTATTTAATATATATATATATATATATATATATATATATATATATATAACTTCATGAATTATTCACACAAAAACTAATGCAAAGGTTAATGATTTAATTGGCGAGAAATCCATCATCGCAAACAATTCAAATAATATACAAAAACCTCCGAATCCGTTATGAATGAAATGATCCTTGTTTATTTAAATTTCTGCCGTATTAGTTCTTATTTTTACTACAAGCTTTCGTCTGTTCCTACAGACATCTTCAGGTATAGAATAGAATTTGTAAATTGATTGCACGTTTATCGTAATATATATAACTGTATACAATATATATTACTTATACTAATATATATATATATATGTGTGTGTGTGTGTGTGTGTGTGTGTGTGTGTGTGTGTGTGTGTGTGTGTGTGTGTGTGTGTGTGTTTACTAGGCTAGTTAATGAAATTTGAGGAATAAAAAAACAGCAAAATTATAAAAATATTTGTAATAAGATTGATAATATTTATTATGTATTAGCCTTTTGACTAACTTGAAGTACAAAGGAAATATTTTAAAGTCAGAATTTTCAGACACGCCTGTGTCCTTTTTCAACGAGACGAGGAATAAACAAAGAAGTGGGACTCAGTTTTTTCCGGGGAATGTTGTTGGTTAGAGGGCTCCCTGTGAAAACTATATTCTCTGAGTAACCCTAAATCCCTGTTTAATTTTTAAATATGAGATACGTGTTATATATAAGCAGCAAGTATTCATCCAAATAAGTTTGACTAAAAGGTACACACAATGCCTGCCTGTTTAATTTTTTATTATATTTTTCCAATTTTCGTTTAAGGAGATGATTATTGTGTTTGAAATTTGGGATAAACTGTTCGAAGCTGATATTTTGTTATTTTTGTTCAAATACATTCGACTTTCGAAGTCATTATCAGAAACGATGTGGTGTCTGTGTGGGAGTTAGAATTTCTTTGTCTACTTTCTGATATTCTTTTGGTAGCTGGGGGTTTGAAATGGTCGAGCGTGACGTCATGTGTAACATCTTATTTTATCATTAAATCATTATTATCTCAACAATAAAAAAAATATTACAATCTAAAAATATTTCCTCACTTTAAATAAGTTGCAAAGGTTTGTAGAAACGAATCAATCAATAAATCTTTGGATTTTGAATCTCTAGACACATAACAGAAGCAGAAGAAATATTTCGATGTACGGAGAAATGAGAGACTTAAAAATATAAATGTGCAAGAGAGATTCTGTCGAGAGAAAAAAATTCTCTAGAAAACTTCATATGAAATGTCAAACAAAGAAAAAAAATTAATGTTCGGGTAATTAAGGGTAGTTACTTAACCAAACGGAGTAAATAACATTGAAATTTCATTAAAAAGATGGAAAAGTTGCTTTTGATGTGCATTTAAGAAAAATTTAAGGAAATGAATCGAAAATTTATGCAAAGGTCACATATTGGTAAACGAAAAAATAAACAATGAATTTTTTCTGAAGAAAATAAAGATTTACATTGAACAACGAACTGTGGGTTGACTAAGCATGTGTATAAGTGGCTGGTAGTCTCCTTAACACCAACTCAATCTCCATATTGTACTTGTTTTGTGTCATAATCTGGGATTTTAACAATGAACTCTGATTAGACTAAACATATGTATAAATGGCTGGGAGTCTCCTCAACACCAACTCAGTTTCCATATTGTACTTGTTTCGTATCGTAATCTGGGATTATAACAATGAACTGTGAGTAGACTAAACATATGTATAAGTGGCTGGGAGTCTCCTCAATACCAACTCAGTCTCCATATTGTACCTGTTTTGTATGGGATTTTAACAATTAACCTTGAGTAGACTTAGCATGTATAAAAATGCCTGGGTGTCTCCTCAAGACCAACTCAGTCTCCATATTTTAATTGTTTTTGCTTATAAGCAGGGTCCTTGCAATATTTTCCATGTTTTTTTTTACAGGAATTTACTTTTTTAAAAACTGTCCCTGATCGTTCAGAAGTAGAATGGCGATTCAGTTAATATAGATATCAAGTTTTAATCATGAAAGCAGAACAATTGCTAGCAAATCGGGTACAGACTTGAAAATCAATAATCTACACCCAGAAACAAAGATGAAAGATAAAAAATTTTCGCGTGTCTAAAGTATTAAGTAAACATAACAAATCATTTGACAAGAGATGAAAGATTTACTTTTGATGTATGTTAAAGAATATGAAATTGCCAGTGATAGTATACCGATAATTTATATAAATTCGGAACAATTGTTTGATGTCGTTAGAACTAACACGACGCCCTGTGAAGTGTTATATTTTATATTGCTTCAATTTATTTCTTTTTATATATAAGGCACACTGAGCGGCGACGACAGTCTGAATGCAATGATTTCAATCTGAATATTGCGTTAAAGCCTGAAACAAACTATTGCTTGTTGATGTTGTCTTCAATGTCCTTTTTTATATTTATATACGCTCTATCCCTGATATTGAGCACATAAACTCGTAACTATAGCAGACCATAAAACTATATCATTATCATATATATATATATATATATATATATATATATATATATATATATATATATATATAAATGATAATAAATTTGAAGTAATATATATATATGTCAAATGTATATATATATATATATATATATATATATATATATATATATATGCATTTGACATAAATATATTATTTATATGTTACATATGCGCGGTACTTATTGGAAAGCGCTCAATATCAGTGATAGAGTTAACATATTTAGTTGGATTGATGTGAGTTTGTGACCCTGGATTTCACGCTATTTGCGATCGTCAGACAAAACCAGGGTCATAAACTCACATCAATTCAATTA